GGAGATAGGCCTCCATACCTTGGAGGACCTGAAACCATCAGTTTTAGTGTTAACAGAAAGTTTCTAGGTACTTCAGGAGGCAGCCACTTATAAGTGACTAATGTCTTTCAGGAGTGGAGGTGAACCAGGAGCAGCAGTTCATGGTGGACACAAAGGGTGCTGGAGGTCAAGGTCACCTGGTGGTAGAACTGGTGAGTGTCAGAGAAACCTCATATTGACCTGTGTGAAAAATATAACTGTTAGTAAGATTCAGTCTTTTTATTAAGGTTGGATAAGGAAAATACTTTTTCCAAAAATTTTAAATTCTGGAAAATTTGATTGTTTCCTTTCTGTGTATGTGGTGTTAGCTGAGTCCCAGTCAGCAGGCAGTACCTTGTAAAGTTGAGCCTCAGCCCGGTAAAGCAGATGTCAGTTTGGTCTGTTACACCCCCACAAAGGAGGGAGTGTATGCTGTTAACGTGTCTTATGATGGACACCCCATCCCAGGAAGCCCCTTTCCTGTGGAGGCCCACCTGCCTCCAGACCCCAGCAAGGTAATATCAGTTTGTGTTCTGTACCTTGACAATTTTACTTGGTCTGTTTTAACATGTTAGACACCTGTATCATTAATAATGCGTTACGTCTTGTTTTAGGTGAAAGCCTTCGGTCCTGGTCTGAAGGGAGGCTTAGTGGGGAACCCGGCTGAGTTCACAATCGACACCAAAGGTGCCGGCACTGGAGGTCTGGGGCTGACAGTGGAGGGGCCGACCGAGGCCAAGATCGAATGTTCAGATAACGGCGATGGGACCTGCTCAGTCTCCTACCTGCCCACCGAGCCTGGAGACTACCTGGTTAACATCCTGTTTGAGAATGTCCACATCCCCGGATCGCCATTCAGAGCTGACATCCAGATGCCCTTTGACCCCTCCAAGGTGGTTGCCTCAGGTTCGGGCCTGAAGAGAGCCAAGGTGAGAGTCTGCAGGGGGAGTGAAATCTGGATGAGTGCAACAAATATGCTGCTACAACACTGCTTCTGAATTTCTCTGCAGCTCAGAATTTTGGCTCGTTAATCTTAAATTTGTAAAGTTAGCTGCTCTTTTATGTGGTGATCTCTGGGTTTCAGTAGGGATGCAGAACCACCTCCTCCCCACTTCACCCAGTAATATGTTCCAGTCTTTGTTGTAGCAGCATTTTCCAGTCTTAGTGGGAGTTTCCGTCATATTGCACAAAAATCTTTATAGCTTTTGACTGTATGGTGTAATTTCCTCCACTGGGTATGTTACAAGCAGCAAGAAATGTGACAAATTGACCTGCACTTGATCCATGATGGCAGCCTTTCCTGCTTTTCTTACAGCCAGTGGATTCATTCCTCTGTTTAGGGAAGGTGTGTGTGAAGTGGTGACTTCTGAAAAGTAGTGCCAGTCAAAATGTGTGACTAACTAGGGAATGAAAAAGGGTGTCCCACATGAACTGAGACACCCGGTCAGCCAATATGTATGTGGTGGACTCTGCTGAAATGCAGCCAGGAAGAAATTTTAAAGTTCCTCAGAATTTATTCATGCAATAGGCACAAGTTCAGTTTTTCATTGTTCGAAAGTTGTGCTGCTTTTTAATTTCCTTAATCTCATCCTGTCCTGTGTCTGCTTTAGTCTGACTCATCCTTTAAAATACTCTCCTGTCCTGAAAGTCATAAAGTCTGATCCATGCTACTGTCTCTTCAGGTTGGGGAAACCAGTGTTGTAAATGTGGACTGCTCTCAAGCTGGACCGGGTGAACTCAGCCTGGAGGCTGCGCTAGATTCACCCCCAAGCAGCCCTACTGGTTCAGGCCTGGGCTCAGGTAACACTGAAACTATTTAATTCAGTCATATAAAAGTTATACATGTTCAAAAGCACATTTAAAAAGCTGTATTCAAATAAAGGCAGAGCCAGCCATTATTCACTGTTTATGAAAATTGGGATGCAGAGACTTAAAAGAATACTTGATGATCAGTTATTTCAAGTGAAGAAAGTGTCCATTTCGTCCCCTTTGCTTCTTTAACATGCCTCACCAGGGGGTAAGTGTAGAGGTCACTTATTTAATATCATGAAATATGGCTGGAAAGCTGTCGTTTGGCTTTGTCAACAGACACATGTTAATTGGTGAGATTTTGTACGTTTAAACTCCAGGTTTTCTGTTTAAAGCAAAAAATTTTTGGTGGTTCTCCATGTAGCACAAATTCTAATTTGATATTCCAGGTGCAAAAGCAAAGACTGAGATTGTGGATAACAAAGACGGGACCTACACGGTGACCTACATCCCTCTGACTTCTGGCATGTACACCCTGCTGCTGAAGTATGGAGGAAAGACCGTCCCTGGTTTCCCTGCTAAGGTGATGGCAGACCCTGCTGTGGACACCTCCAAAGTCAAAGTGTTTGGACCTGGAGTGGAGGGACAAGGTACAGTATATATTTAGCTTGATACAAATCCAGTTTGGGAAGAATAATTTAAATGAGTGGCGTTCAAGTTGAGCAGTACTGTTTATTTTTTCCTGTTTGGTTTATTTTGCTTTGCATTAGCCTGCACAGTTGAATATTATACAAGTTAGAAGTCATAGAAAGTGAATTATACAACTTAATAGCATTCGCTACAGTGGTTAATGAACCTAATATGATCATCCCAAGCACACGGCTGAGAGTACATAAGCTCCACCCACCTGCTTATGTTTTATTGAGGGGCAGCCAGTCACAAAACTGTTTTTAAATAGGGTGGCCTTACAGGGGGGAGGAGATAAAATGGCTTATGTCAGACTGGGTTTAATTGAGAGACTCCACTATTGTGCTGAAGTGTTAATATTCAATGCTTCTCTTCATTTTTTGTGAATTGAAGAATGTTGTGTTGAGGGACTGTGGGTATTTTATGTAGTATAGTTTTTAAATCCCTTTGTGATATCGGGGTAATTTCCAACTTGATAAAACTCCTTCATAAGTCAACAGGTAGAGGTGACTTGACAGCCTGAGTAAGTTTGGTAATGATCAAAAAAAAAACCCCTTGTGCCCAGTCAGAGTTCTGCTTAGAACACGCCTTCCTCTGTTTCCCTCCCTCCAGCTGTTTTCAGAGAAGCCACCACAGAGTTCACAGTGGATGCTCGTTCTCTGACCCGGCGAGGTGGCGACCACATAAAGGCGGTGGTCAAGAACCCGTCTGGAGCTCTGACAGACTGTGGTGTTACAGACAAGGCCGATGGCACCTACTGTGTTGAGTACACTCCTTTTGAAAATGGTAACGCATCCAGTCAGAACTGAACTGCTCAACATAAAACCTTTTTGTTGTGAAGTCAGTTTCATTTGTGTCAATCTTTATTTTAGGCGTCCACAGCGTCCAGGTTCTGTATGATGACACTCCAGTTCCCAATAGCCCATTCAGGGTTTCTGTGTCAGAGGGATGTGACCCGAGCAGGGTGGTGGCTACTGGCCCCGGGCTGGAACAAGGCCTGACTGACCAGCCCAACAACTTCAACATCTTCACCAGGTACTGCTGGGCAATAAAGTATACACGTATATCCTTATAAATAAGGAGCAATAAAGTAGATAATTGTATGAGTCAGTAAAGATTATAGTTAACTGACAGAAAACTGAAACTTCACTTTTACAAGGAATATTTAATTTGGTTATATTTTTAAATGCACCATGTGTGACGAGGTATTATGCCTTTTTGTTTCAGTCTTTTTTTTTTTTATTATTTTAAGCTAATACAAACAAAAGGTAAACATTTTGTCATTTGTGCACAACATTTGTGCGCAAATGACAGAATTGGCAATCAAATCATGTAAATCATCCTGTATCATCTGCAAACATTTGAACATTTTGACAGCCGTTGGTAGATAATTAAAGTACAAATAATTTGGATGTGTTGTTCCTTCAGAGGGGCAGGTATTGGTGGCCTTGGCATCACTGTGGAGGGTCCATCAGAGTCTAAAATGTCTTGCACAGACAACAAAGATGGCAGCTGCAGTGTGGAGTACATTCCCTTCACACCAGGAAACTACGACGTCAACATCACCTATGGAGGAGAACACATCCCTGGTGAGATGATCTCTTTTTTTTTTTTTTTTTTTTTTTAATTATTATTATTATTTTGGTTCCCTTACTAGCATAATAAGCTGTAGCACAGGGGATGGTTAAACCTGTAAAGTGTGCAGGAAAAACCCTACCTTTTTAAAAATGGAAAGACAAGCATTCAGAAACAGTTCAGAGTAAACCAGGTTTTGCTCTGCATCAGTGTGAGGTGTTTCAGGCATGACCAACCTGGACACAGAACACGCTGGAAAGATTATTTCTCTGAGCTAGTTTAGGGAACACCTCAGCATCCTGAAGAGTTTGAGTTTAACAACCCTTGTAGTTTATAAAACAACTTTCTTTGAATGCATTTCATCTTGAGAGCTTTAGCTTAGACTGCTGCCCTTGCAACTCAAAGTTGGATAAGGAGTGAAAGGGAGATGGATGGAGAAGGCATTTCATTTGTTTGAGGCAATTTTCAACTGCAAGTTAATCACATTTGATACTTTAGTGAGTCTTTTGTGTCTGAGTTGGTTAAAATAAACGGTGGTAAGATCAGTATTTCTGGACCACAGTGGAGCTCTGTGGCATAGATAAACAGGAACTAGATCCAGATGGTTTGGGTCAGTTTTCCGAGATTTGTTGACAACAGAAAGAGAGAGAAGAATTTAATCCGACTTAATTCTGGTAATGTGAGAAGGCTCATGAAGGGAAAAAATCTGAAGAGGAATGGTTCTCATCAACATGAAAAACGGGAATAAACTAATTTAGCACAGCTTCACTAAGCTGTTTCACATGTGTTCATCTCTTAAAGATCTTTAATGTCACTTTAATAACACTTTGTTGCCTTTTCTCTCATTTGTACCTATAAACAGATGCTAATGATAAAAGGTGCAGTTAATGTTTAGTTGACATTACAAAAATGCTGTTATTGGTTGTTTGAAGACATGTTGAGGGTTTTGGCTTAATGTTTTAAAGATGTCACAGTTTTAAATTTCTTCGACTGTGGTCTGAAAAGTTCTCATGTTTCTGCGATGAGTTTGTTTCTGCAGAGTCATTCAGCAGATATAGCAGCACTGTTATCTCTGTAACTTTGCATTTGTGGAGTGATTCACAGACATGTTGTCAGACAGTTATCCAGTATCTAGGAGTGCATTTTATTAGCATTTATTAAGAGGTGGCTTCACTCTGCACATCTGTCTACATGTCTGTGATGTCTCTGCTGCATGTGCTACAAACATTAAAGTGTCAAACAGCACGCTCTGCTATGAGTCTTGCTAGTTGTGTTTACACCTAATTTATTTTTCTGTACTTAGGGAGTCCATTTAAGGTCCCAGTTAAGGATGTGGTGGACTCTAGTAAGGTCAAAGTTTCTGGTCCTGGAGTGGCGTCAGGAGTCAGGGCCAATATCCCGCAATCCTTCACAGTGGACTGCAGGAAGGCCGGCGTGGCGCCCCTGGCTGTGGCAGTCACTGCTCCCAAAGGCATTGCAGAGCCTGTGGAAGTGACTGATAATGGAGACGGGACTCACACAGTGTCCTACACGCCGTCTGTGGAGGGACCGTACTCGGTGGCTGTAAAATATGCTGAGGAGGACGTCCCACACAGGTACACAGCTGTAGCAGTACAGCAACAGAAGGAGTCGGGCAACTTTTGTGAAAACGTATACATTTGATTTGTTCTGGTTTGTTTTAATTGAACTGCTAACACCTCAAATGATGAACTTGAGCTAAATTTAAGATTATATGAAAATACAGTGACTGATTAACCAGATAAAAATGCATGCAAAGCAGACCTTTTGAGTCGATTCACTCTAACAGCCAGAGGTGAACTCTGTATTACTCTATCGCTGGTAATTTTTGTCCCTTTGATATCTGCTTGCTGTTGTGGTTCATACAGTTGATCAGTCTGTACTGTCTCTGATCTTTCAGTCCCTTCAAGTTTCGGGTTCTGCCCACTCACGATGCCAGCAAAGTACGAGCCAGCGGCCCCGGGCTGACCAGCGGCGTCCCCGCCAGCTTCCCCGTTGAGTTCAATATCGACGCTAAAGATGCTGGCCAAGGCCAACTGAGCGTGCTCATCACGGTCAGTATCACACACATAAGCCTACACACACTAAAGTAGACCCCACACAGATTGTTATTCACTTCCTTCCTCTTCAGGACCAGGATGGCAAACCTAAGCAGCCCAGGATCCATGACAACGGTGATGGTACATACCGGGTATCATACGTCCCTGACCGTGCTGGCCGGTACACCATCGTTATAAAATATGGTGGCGATGACATCCCAGCATCACCTTACAGAGTCCGTGCCACAGCAACTGGTGATGCCAGCAAGTGCACCGTGAGCGGTATGTGATCGGAGTCTGACAGAAGGAATCTCATTTATTTTTAGGAGTCTGATTAATTCACAACGTGTACTTCTCCCAGGTTCAGGCGTGGGTCCCACTGTGGCCATTGGTGAGGAGTTGGGTCTGGTGGTGAATGCAAAGGGTGCTGGTAAAGGGAAAGTGAGCTGTGTGGTGGTTCAGCCCGATGGCACAGAGGTGGAGGCCGAGGTGCTGGAGAATGAAGATGGCACCTTTGACATCTTCTACACTGCGCCAGCTCCTGGGAACTACGTCATCTACGTCCGCTTTGGAGGGGAAAACATCCCACGCAGTCCCTTCAAAGTCACGGTGAGAAGAGAACGCATATTAGACAAACACTTTGAAAGCAGATGTCGCGGTCATCCAGAGTATCCAACATGTCCTTGTACACTGATTAACCTCATCTCTTAGTTTGACTGTTTGTTTTGTTTCTTTGTTTTTCCTGCTCGTTGTATTGGGCCTTTCATCGTCTTTCCTTGTGATAGTGTGGGAGGGATCATTTTGTCCACAAAGTCATGTCACAGTGGAAGTAATTTTATTTTAACTGATACATATTTCAGTCTTGACAAAAGCAGCTGTCTTTAGGCTGCACAGACAGATAAATTGTATTTTTTGCATTTTGTTGTGTTCGGGTTTGAGGACTACCTTTTAAGTGGATAAAAAAATGGGTGGGCTTTTGTGCTTACAGCCAGAGCCTGGCCAGACCATATCAGGGGTATCTGACATCATATCAGATGGTGTTTAGAGCAGTCTGATGCCTAACTTTTTGGCTGGACAATAAAGGCCGAATGCATAATGGTTCTGCTTTAGAGAAACTTGCATAACTAATTAGAAATAAATATCCTCAAAAGGTCCTCAAAAATGGAGGGCAACAAATATAGGAAATTGATGCTATTCTTATATTCCTAAAAAGTTTATTCCAGCCTGATAAGTGGGTGGAAATATGAGAACTTGATGTCATTTCTTGATGTTAAGGACAGAACACGTAAGATGTTTCTAGCCATTAATGGAAACTGCTGGTGGTGATCGCAGGTGTCTGTTTTCCACTCCAAACATAACTATGGACTTTGTGTAAAGAGACTCCCACATATATATTTACATGGAATGACTGGTTGTGTGAGATGTGTTAATCCTTACTGTCATGTCACCAGGCTACTGATGAGGTACCCATGATGAAAGGGCAGACATCTCTACAGCAACGGGCCGCTCCCCCTGGGGCTGGCTTCAAGCCATGGGTACCCCATTACACACACTTACACACTTACACATGTTTTTAAGCCCTTCAGCAGATCGTTAGTGTCCTTTGGAGACATCTGATTCCAACTTTATTCTGCAGCAGGACAATTGGCCTTAAACTGGGGTTAGAAACATTAATTGGTTCATGATTTGAATAATAATGGTAATGAGGAGGGTTACATCTTACCAGTTTGGGCATAATCACTGACTCTAGTCTTTAGTCGAGTGAGCTGCAAAAGAAATCAGATGTTTTAGAAGCTCTTTGGCGGTGCAGGTCTGTCAGTAAGCTTATAGACACAGATATTGCAATGTTCTTCAGCTCACCTGAGCGCTGTACTAAGTTAGTCAAACAGGGATCTTTCTATTATCTGGATTCCTTTAGCCTCATATTGGATCAGCGGTCACATGAAACTGGATATCCACTCACTCAGTTAACCCACACATCATGACTTTTTCTACTAAAAATGATCACCATGTTCCTTTTATGATGCAAGATAATATACAATTGTAATTATAGAGTTGATGCTGATAAATCTGTTGACAGCTGAGAGCTTTCATCCTTTGGAATAGGCTTTATTCTTAAGACCTGTCCATTTTCATGTGACCGCTTAGTCTGATCACTCTGTGTCAGGATGGCTTGAACCAGATAAGAGAGAAATCCTAGGAATGTTGAACCGGCCTTGTAGTACAGGCCCCAGGGTTGGTTAAGGCTGTGCTGCAGTGTGTGGTTTAGGTCGTCTTTTTCACTGTTTGGAGGACAGTATTTATCGAACACACTTTATATTCCCACACACCCTCTCTGTTGTGGGTGAATGGCTGCTGGTTGAACACTTAACTTCTCTCTCACTGCACTCCTTAGTGTATTCACTCAAACACTTTCTTTCCTCCATGCCATCGCTTCACAAACCACCATCTGTGTGCGAGATGCATTGCACAAAGGTGTTTTTGAGGGAAGGGGGGCTGTTGTGGTGGTAACCTTTGCTCCTCTTCTTCCTTGGTGCACTCTTCATCACTGCGGCTGCATCAGAGTCACCCCATCATCACCGTCATCCACCTCTTCCTTCCTCATCCTTCCTTCATTGCACAACTCCTTTTCAGGATGCCCTTGTGTGGGCGGGGCTTGGAGGCAGCATGCTTGCATTTCAGGTTGCTAAGAACATTTCCCCCCCTCACTGACATGCTAAAGTCTGTCTTTGTGCCTGTCTTGTATTCAGGTGACGTCTGAAAGCTACCAGCCAGATGGTACGAGCGTTAACGGCAGTGGCTTCAGACCTTTCGACATGGTGATTCCTTTCGCGTTCAGGAAGGGAGAAATCACCGGTAAGGAAGAAAGGGATGGATGGTCTCAGTGAATTTGTGCTTATTTGAGGTATTGAGAGACATAAGGTTTTATCATAACAAAAAAGCACCAGCAATTCTAGAAAAATGTTCATAAGTTATTTAAAACTTCACTGCACATGGTAAGTGATTAAACACAAGAAATGCAATTTATTCAGATCAGCAGAGGCTGAGGACACATTTTCAGCTTTCTGGGTTTCTCTGCAGTACAAAAACTGCATATTCTGCCACCTGCAGCAGTATATTAATTTTTTTTGTGTGAATCGACAGATGTGAGTAACCAGTAAATTGAAATGTGGATGAGACATTCATGGGTTAATATAATCAGTTTAGTTATTAGAAATGACACAGTCTATACAAACTAATATGTTAAAGGGGATCAGAGTTTAAGAAACTGACCAATAAATGGACGGTCTGACTCTTCCATTATAAAAATGCCTAATCAAGAAACTTCTCTTACAGGTGAGGTGTTGATGCCTTCAGGTAAATCTGCTCAGCCTCTAATCACAGACAACCTGGATGGGACGGTCACAGTGCAGTACTCTCCTACTGAGGCCGGTCTGCACGAGATGCACATCAAATACAACGGCACACACATCCCAGGTAAACGCATACACTCATGTGACATTAGCACCATGATTAGAACCCTTATAGTGGTAACTACTGAGCTTGCTGCTCACAGGGGCCTCGGTTTGTCAGGATAAATCTTGGTGGGGTGTCTGAATTGACTTCTGAAGTGGCTGGATGGGTTTACTGAGGGCTCTTGAATTTCAGTGTTATTACTACTACTGCAAACTTAGTTTGCTGTAATTAGGTTCACTGTATGTGTTGCAGAATCTCCCCTTCAGTTCTATGTGAATCACGCCAGCAGTCCCAACGTCACAGCTTACGGTCCTGGTCTGAGTTATGGTGTCGCCAACAAGTTGGCTACCTTCACAGTCTTCACAGAGGATGCCTCCGAAGGTACGGGTTTATTTTTCATTATTTCAGTCTGTTTTGACTCGGTTCAGTCTCGCTGACCAAGCCCGTCTCTCTGTCCAGGAGGTCTGGACCTGGCTATTGAGGGTCCGTCCAAAGCAGAGATCAGCTGTGTGGACAATAAAGACGGGACCTGCACTGTCAGCTACCTGCCCACGCTGCCAGGAGACTACAACATCCTGGTCAAATACAATGACGAGCACATCGCTGGCAGCCCGTTCACTGCCAGGATTACCGGTGAGGCACCAATGCACAATATTAGTACTGTAAATTGTCTAGCAGTGTAGCTTTTTAGCTCACTTGTTTAAAAAAAAGTTGAGCTTGTTTAAACAAGTGATTATTTTGCTACTGATGTAGACATGAAATCAGATTTTTTTTGAAACATTAAAGAAATGGGTTTTTACAGTTCTCGTCTCAATAATTTACCCACTGTAGTCTACACTGGGTTTGCTATATTTTATCATCTAACACTTTACCTTCTTACTTCTGTTCGTCTTTCAGAGGACAACCAGCGGCGCTCTCAGGTCAAACTGGGCTCGGCTGCAGATTTCTCTCTGGACATCAATGAGACGGACCTCAGCCTGCTCAGCGCCAGCATCAGGTCGCCCTCTGGACGTGACGAGCCCTGCTTGCTGAAGAGGATGGCCAACAACCACATCGGTAAGATCCACAAAGGCACATTTGAAACAAATGAGTACAACATTTACCGAAATTGCTCCTCTCACCTTCAACTCTTTTCTCCTCCTCACAGGTATCTCCTTCATCCCCCGGGAAGTGGGCGAGCACCAGGTCAGCATCCTGAAGAATGGTCGTCATGTCGCCAACAGTCCCATCACCATCATGGTCGTCCAGTCTGAGATTGGCGACGCCAGTCGAGTCAAAGCTCACGGTGACGGCCTCGTCCAGGGAACCACCTTCAGCAACTCGAGCTTTATAGTCGACACGCGGGAGGCAGGTCAGTGTCAGCCTGTTCTATACTTTACAGCACAGTTTATTTTCTAATATAAACTCAAAATTGTTCCTTTGAAGCACTAATAATGACATCAATGCCAATGATGGCGATCTGTGCGATCTGTTTCCAGGTTATGGCGGTCTGGCTCTGTCCATTGAAGGTCCCAGTAAAGTAGACATCCAAACGGAGGACATGGAGGACGGGACCTGTAGAGTCACTTACTGTCCGACCGAACCTGGAAACTACATCGTCTCAATCCGCTTCGCTGAGGAGCACGTGCCAGGTAGAGAGGAGCAAAAGTAGCTGAAAAACAGTTTGTTCAGTGTTCTAATGAAGCGTGCAACTTAACGAACGTGTGGCGTCAACAGGAAGTCCGTTCACAGTGAGGGTGACAGGTGAGGGTCGTATTCGGGAGAGCATCACCAGACGACAGAAGGCGGCGTCTGTCGCCACTGTTGGGAGTGTGTGCGACCTCAGCCTAAAGATACCAGGTACACAGACGTTTGGTGACTATGTTCATGATGTTGCGTGTGTGTAACACAAACTTTAGGAAAAATAGAGCTACTCTCTGTCTGAAACTTCAGCTTTTTCCAGTTTTCCTTACTGCTGCTCTGTAGTCTCTTTGACATTTAACTTTTCTTATTTCCTGTTCTATCATTCCCTTTCTATGAGAACTTTTCACTCATCTTATTTCCTGTCTGCCTTTTATCTTTCATCGATCTTTTACTTTTTTCTCCTCTCTTGTCAATCATGTCTCTCCTTCTCCTCAGCTTCTCCTCGTTTCCTCCTCTACTGCCTTGTTCCCTTCTCCTACCCCTCAATCCTTTCCCTTCCTCTGTATGCTCTCTTCCTCATCTTTTTCCTCCAGTGAGCTGGTTCCTCCTCGTCTTGTCTCGGCAGCTCCTTTTTCACACCACCTACCGCTCCTACTGCTCTCTCTGGTTGTCTGGAAGATCCAGCGTTCCCATGACTCATTCCTCTGCTGCTACCCGGAATCAGAACCTGTCTCCTGGCTGTGTCCGGCTAGTCTCTGGCCTCTCCGGTCTGGTGCTGGCAGGGGGAGCCAGAGCAGTGAGGGGTGTTTGGGTTGTTGATGCCCCCTATTTGGGACGCAGTGCTAGGGTGGAGGGTGCGTTGTAAAACTAGCTTTAACTGCTTTATTTTTTTTAAGTGGGTATGAAAGATTCCACCTCATCTTTTATCAGTTTGCTTTGATACAGAGTAATTTTTCTGCATCACGCAACAAGGAAGGAAGTGCTTGGCTGCTCCTACCTACAGCAGCACAAATATAAGATATGGGGAACTTGAGTTTAATTTTTATTTTTGTTATGATATTGATAAAGACAACTGGTTAAAGATGTATAAAAGCAACCCTTGTGACCCTCAAGGCAGGTGTTCTTGGGTAACTTGCACGGTTGCATTTGATCAGTAAGTTGTGAACTGGATGGTAAAGTTTGCACTGTGCAAGCAACCTCGCAGTCGTTCACTGTATGAAGGACCTTGTGTTGCTTCTGATTCTGTCTCTTGGAGATCGTAGCACAGTTTAATTTGAGTTAAATTTCCTTAAACCTCCCTTTTCCTTTTCTCATTTGCCATGCCTGTCCTTACGGTCACAGCAACCGGTTCTGGTATGTTTCAGCTTTAATTTGATCTGAATAACAAATAAAATGACAAACTCATGAAGGATCATGTGGTAAATCAGTCAACAAATGTAAATGTATAAATGCCTCCTTCCTCTCTTCTCAGCCATCGACATGCAGGACGTCACTGCTGAGGTCACCTCCCCCTCTGGAGCCAGTCAGCCAGCAGAGCTCGTGGCCACGGGTAACGACGCCTACTGTGTGCGCTTCGTGCCCACTGAGATGGGCGTGCACAGCGTGAGTGTCAAGTACAGGGGCGTGCACGTGCCGGGCAGCCCCTTCCAGTTCACTGTGGGGCCGCTGGGTGAGGGCGGGGCTGGCAAGGTGAGGGCCGGAGGTCCAGGACTGGAGGGAGCACTGGCAGGAGAGCCAGGTACGCACAGAACACCTGATCCAAAAGTCTGATGTCCATCAAATGTCAAAATTAAAGAAACTCATCCTGTTCCTCTGTGCCACAGGCAACACTGTTGTCAAAAAAAGTTTCACACAGTGCTGCATTGGTTTTTACACAAGTACTTTTAAAATGTGGACTGATGGAGAAGGATCTGTGCCTTGTGAATTTTCAGTTTTCTTGTATCTTTTCACCAGCTGAATTCACGATCTGGACGAGAGAGGCAGGAGCTGGTGGTCTGTCGGTTGCCGTGGAGGGACCCAGCAGGGCTGAGATCTCCTTCGATGACCGCAAGGACGGATCCTGCGGCATTTCTTACGTCGCTCAGGAGCCTGGTAGATGATTCACACACGCTCACGGTTTACCTGTTGGCTGTTTGCTGATGTGTTCGACTGAGTTTCCTTCTTCCCGCCTCCTTTTCCAGGTGATTATGAGGTTTCGGTGAAGTTTAACGACCAGCACATACCCGACAGCCCCTACCTGGTTCCTGTTGTCGCTCCAGTGAACGACGCCCGTCGCCTCTCTGTTGCGGGTCTTCAGGTGAGGCACGAGGAGACACCTCCACACCCAGCCTGCCCTGCTTGATTAAAGGGCGCTGATGAGGCACAGTTGCATAAAAATGTGACTTCATTACCAAAGCAAGGACTCGACTGGTTTGGGCTGTTAATCATTGATTTTAAATTGGATTCAAAGCGACATCTTAAACAGCCCGAGTCAGTCGATCCTCAACAGCTGCACAGATACTCAGGTTAAACTAAATGTTCTTTATGCAACTGCTCTCATGGATATGACCGCAGCCAGGCAAACGCATACAGTTTCCACTTTGACTAAAAAAAAGGTTTCAGTCCGCTTTAGGTTCACTTGGTGTCTTGAGTGGGTTTACTCATTTCAGTTTAGCTCTTATTAATTGTTTGAAAGTGTTCAGTTTTTAGTATTTAATGTAATTATAATACAGGTGTGGGTTTGTCAGGTGTAGACTTTTAGATACTACAGTATAAACATGGTAATTGGGGTTTGAATGGCAGACATCCCAGCAAAGCTTCCAGATGCTTGTTGGGTTGAAGGACTTGATCACGTAGATGATGAAGAAATTTATTTTATAAATTGAGTTTTATGTGCATTTTATCTTAAGGGTGGCCACTGTTTCACAGGTTTGTACTAGATCTATTATGTAATGTAAAGTAAAAAGCTCTTTTGAGTGGCTGAGTTTGGGTACCTGTGGTCAGGAAGTCGTCCGTGCAGTTTTGCCTGGCTCTGGTCATCCCTCGCTTTGTCTGGTGTGGAACTGTTGGTGTTTCTCTTGTGTTTCATTTAAAGGCTTTTAACAGTACAATCATCCGTTTCTTCAGCTCCCAGGTGTCCCAGCTGGAGCAGACAGACTTCCTTGTGTCTTCTTAGAGACTGTAGTTTGTTTTTGTCTATAGCTTGAGACATTCTTCTGCTCTGAGTCTGCATTATTTATGTTTGTTCGTTTTGGCTCTTTCAGTTCAGACAGAAGATAAAGATCTCGTTCTTAATGAGAATAATAAATCACTGCTGTAAGAACAAGGAGATGGAAACGCTTTAAACCAAAAAGTAGATCAGCTTTATGACATTTTTTTTTCTCATAATAAGACTAATCTGCTGACAGTCTAACCCTTCTGAGTCTGTCTGCTGGAGTTGCACTAAGTGGAGCTCAGGTAAGAGTAGAGCAGAGGATATGCACTGAAGTTCTTTGTCTTTAGCACTCTGATTTTCAAAAAGTGTGTGTGTTCAAGTGTTTAAGATGTTTTTCCTGTTCGTCAAATATCTGTCCTGTACACTGACTTTGTGCGAAACCAACAGGAGTCTGGTCTGAAGGTGAATCACCCAGCATCCTTTGCGGTGCGTCTAAATGGAGCCAAAGGCAAGATGGATGCCAAAGTCCACAGTCCCTCTGGAGCTCTGGAGAAGTGTGTTGTCACAGAGCTGGAAAGAGGTGTGTGTGTGGGCCTGCCTGTCTGGGTTTTTCTGTTATTTTTTTATTTATTTTTTTTAATTGTAAAGGTGATTTCCAGAGGATTTATGGGAACTTCAGTAAGAACAATACTACACACACATACTATGAAATCGCTGCAGCTAACAGACCCTTATGTACTGTCTTCTAGACAAGTACGCTATCCGGTTCATCCCCAGGGAGAATGGCGTCCACACCATTGATGTCAAATTCAATGGCTGTCACATCCCGGGAAGTCCTTTCCAGGTCCGAGTTGGGGAGCCAGGACAGACTGGAGAGCCTGGTTTGGTTTCAGCATACGGATCAGGACTGGAGAGAGGAACAACAGGTGAGTAACTGTTTTACCTGCTGCAGCCTTAAATTTTTCACTTCATAACTGCTGTGAGCCTGTTTAGAGCATAAAGTTGAGCAAAGTTCAGTATGATTTATCCACTGCTCAGTTTTCACGTATACCAGCTTGGAGTTGTTCAACAAAACATCACACTTCTTAAATCTTGCAGGTACTCAGTCAGAGTTCATCATTAACAACACTAAGGCAGGCCCCGGGTCCTTGGCTGTGACCATCGAGGGCCCGTCAAAAGTAAAGATGGACTGTCAGGAGGTTCCCGAAGGCTACAAGGTGCAGTACACTCCCATGGCACCTGGAAACTACCTGATCAGCATTAAATACGGAGGCCCAAACCACATCACTGGGAGTCCCTTCAAGGCCAAAGTCACAGGTAAAATTCTGCTCTTAGTTAAAGCTGGTTCCAAATGTTCCGTGATTCAGATTTGGATCACTTTTCAAGTTCATCCAAGCCCAAATTCTGGTTTTAAAGCAATATAAACTGCTGGATCGAAAACTGCAGACTTCACATAACCTCTCTGGTAGTGGTTCATAACAAGAAATGGCTGTTAAATTCTGTCACCAGTGTTTCATCTGCCTGCACCACATGGTAAAGTTCAACTTTTTTTTCTCCTGCCTTTCAGGTCCTCGCCTTGTGAATGTAACAAACGCCAGCGAGACATCAACCCTGACACTGGATCCGGCAATTCGGGCATCCAGCAGCTTCACGCAGAGCGCCATGCCCAGGCTGGGTGACTCTGATGCCAGCAAGGTGGTGAGCCGAGGAGCTGGCCTGAGCAAGGCCTTTGTGGGCCAGAGGAGCAACTTCACTGTCGACTGCAGCAAAGCAGGTATGGAGGAACTGCATGTAGAAGCCATCTTTTAAGAGAATAATTTAAGTATTTCCTTTCAGTGCACAGGTTAAAACTCACAAAGATGAACAGTCACATATTTAAAGATTAATTTGCTATCATACATACTTGTTCTTCTACCTCCTCCCAGGTAAGAACATGCTTCTGGTGGGTGTGCACGGCCCACAGGTCCCTTGTGATGAGGTGCTGGTCAAACACATGGGCAACCTGCAGTACAACGTCAGCTACGTGCTGAAGGAACGGGGCAACTACATCCTGGTGGTCAAGTGGGGTGAGGACCACATCCCGGGCTCCCCCTTCCACGTCGCCGTCCCCTGATGAGCCAAGAAACTTTCCGTCTCTCCTCCTGCACCATTTTGCATCCCCATTTGAGTTAAGACACATTAGCTGCACTATAAATAACTGTCCAGTGAACAAGCTGCTGAGCAACGTTTTCTCTGCTAACTTTGTTTTCAGCTCAAATCAGATGATTTTTGAGGATTTTCTGAAGCAACTCATTTACATTTTGAAATGTTTCTCCTTGATATAGAAAAATGTCAGAATTAAAGAAAACATTAGAGAAAATAAATGCACCACTGAATAGAGACTTTGAACTCTTAGACACTTTTCTGGTAGTGAATCATTGAAGCGAAATGGTAGATGTACTCTAGTTTACTAGATTGAATTGACTGAAGGTAAAAGATCTAAAATCTGTCGATTTAAAACTGCCCTGCAATTTTCAATTGGCTCATTTTGCACTTGAATTTTTATCCTAGATTCGTGAATTAACGTTTGCTGGTTTTACACAGGTAGTTCATGCACCTGCACATCAGTTGGTATTGAACTGAATATGTTAAGTTTGAAGTGAAACAAGTAGATCCGAAGCTTTTAAATACCTATGTGCAAAAATATATATGCATAACTGGAATTTCACCTTGACATGAGGTTTCCTAATAGTTTAAATGCACGATGAAGAGAATATGCTACTGGTTTAGCTGGGAACCGGGCGGTTATCACCACATCTGTGCAGAACCTTTCCTCAACAAAATTACTGAACCACTGTGATGGAAAAAAGAAAAGTGATCATCTCAAACAAACATCTCAAAAAAGGAGAGCTGGATTTGTCTTTGAGTTGTTTTTTTTTTGTTTGTTTGTTTGTTGTCCGTGTCATTAATTTACTCCAAGACAAACTAAACTGTCAAACTGTACGCCAACTACTGATGTTTAATGTTTCTTGCGCCTAAACTAGCTGCCAGAGTCCCGCGTGTACTAAAGGTTGCCATAACGAGTCAATGATTGTTGAAGCTGCCTTCACACTACTGTTTCCTGCACTGTTCAACAGACTACTTAATTATGTGCTGGAGTTTAGATGTCCTTCTGTCTTCTCTCTTGTTTCTTCTTGTATTTTCATACGAGCAGATCTGACTCAGTTTTGATTGAAAACATTTTAAAGCAGATCTAAGATGAAAAATTAAAGGTCAGAACTTTAGTTTTTGTGTAAATCTGAAAATCTACATGAATTTAATGTTGCCTTATCACTGCTACTTTTGATACTTAAGAGATGAAAGTTGTGGGGTTCTTTTGTTTTTTGTTTGTGGGGTTTAAGGGGAAACTTCTCATTTTGTATTGGGGAATTGGTGTTTTAATGTGAAACTAAACCCTGAGATATGATGTACATTTGATAATTAAAATAAAGAACAGTTAGAATGTCAGAGTTAAGTGTTTCATTTCATTGAGGTCATGTCTCCAGCTGTCTTCCAGTTTTATTGGATTGGCACACAATGCAAGTGGAAAGCTGCATTTTATTTGGCAGGCAGGAGTTTTTACGACTGACTTTAGTGCCAAATGTTGGTGTGCCTCATTTTGTATAGCAGGATTATGGTGCTGTGATTTGTGTTGGGGAGTGACCAGAATGGGCAGGGTTAGAAATGAATAGAGGGACAAGAGAAAAATCTATTATTTACAGTGGGTTTTAAGTTAAATTTTATCGACGCACCTATTGATTCCTCATTGTAGCAAAAATTCTCTGATTGTACTCTGTCAATATCCCATAATCCACAAATCTTTCATAAACGGGATCCTCTTTCCTCAATATGATTTTTTTTTTTTTTTTTTTTTTTTTTTCTCCTCCCTCTTCTATTAAAAACCCATGTGCCTGTTGGAGCTAATGTTTGATGTGATAGTGGTGGGGGGGAGACCTTTAATACAAAAGGCACAAAGACCCACCCACCTTACTTGGTGGCAAAGGTAATTAACTATACACATTTCAGAAATCTTGGTTATTTCTTTATTAGGAAATAATTGAAACATGTTTCTGCCTTTATATTGTTTGACAATTTGTGTAACACATCTTATGCAGTGATTGTTGTTACTTACATAGCAACCGTAGTTCTATTGTGCCTAAGGATCGCCTCAAACTGCTAAAGCAATATTTGTGGGGAAAAAAAACCAATAAATAAATAACAGCTGTGGTAAAGGCATCATAAAAAAGTTTGAAGCAAACGCACTGCCAGGAATGTCAAGTTTTAGTTTTCAAACTTTCTCCCACATTGGATGTACTATTAACGAGCTCTGATCGACTGACAGTACCTCGCAATCACAGTTAAACATTAAATAAGTGACACATCTACCATCTAAATATTTTTCAGTTGTTGGTTAACAGTAAAACACACCTTTGTTCTGGTTAAACTGCAATCTTTATCTGGTTATCCAAACCAGAAATTTCTTCTTCCTCTGAGAAAAGCACAAGCAGTGCGAGAGAGAAGCTTCAGCTTAAAGACAGAAGACCGACACGGAGACGACGACAAGGAAAAACCGTGTTTTCAGCTTCTCTCTGAGAAAAGATGTCTTTCCAGTCCGAGGAGGATCTTTCCTGCCCCATCTGCCATGACATCTTTAGGAATCCCATTTTCCTGTCATGCAGCCACAGCTTCTGCAAGATGTGTCTGAAGAACTGGTGGGCACAGAAGATGGAACAGCAGTGCCCAGTCTGTAAGAATATATCTGAACAGAGTGAGCCACCCTGTAACTTGGTCCTAAAGAACCACGCTGAGGCCTACTTACAGGAGAGAGATCCCAGTGCTTCAGTGGAGTCTGAGGTTCTGTGCTGTCTGCACCACAACAAACTCAAACTCTTTTGTCTGGACCACCAGGAGCCAGCCTGTGTCATCTGTCGTGATTCGAGAGCACACGTCGACCACAAGTTCAAACCTATTGATGAGGCCGCGCAGGATCACAAGAAAGCGCTTCAGAAATCTCTGGAACCATTACAGGACAAACTGAAGGTCTTACAAAAAGTGCAGGAAAACTTTGATATAACACAGCAACGCATAAAATTCCAAGATCAACACATAGAGAAACAAATCAAGGAGCAGTTTAAGAAGTTTCACCAGTTTCTACACGAGGAAGAGAAGGTCAGGCTCACCGCTTTGAAGAAGGAAGAGCAAGAGAAGAGTCCGAAGATAAAGGAGAAGACTGCGGCTTTGAGCAGAGAGATGCCATCTCTTTTACAAACAATAGGAGCTGCAGAGGAAGTGCTGAGAGCTGAAGATGTCTCATTCCTGCAGAACTACAGAGCTACACTGAAAAGTGTCCAGCAGTATCCCTCAACGGATGATCCACCGCTGGTCTCAGAAGCTCTTATAGATATGGCTAAGCACCTGGGAAACCTGACTTACAACATCTGGATCAAGATGAAGGGGGTGGTTTTTTACGCTCCTGGGACTCCATACGCTGGTCATCCAGAACACTCTGTCTCCGAAGATCTGACCAGTGAGAGGCACCAGCCTCCTGACAAGCCAGAAAGGTATTCAATTTTTCCCACTAAAGGGTGTGGTGGACTCCAGTAAGGTCAATATTCCTGAGAATACTAACAAAAAATCTACTGGGTTTGGGATTTAGGAGAAAAATACAAATGATTGATAGTGTTAGGATACTATTATTACCTGCTTTGATGACTTAATTCTCACTGGCTTTAATCTGATGTGGGCCATCTGATGGTCTATGTTTTGGGCCTTTTTTTTTTTAGTATTGGATGAAGTACAAAGTCCTGTCTTTTCTTCTTTGTACATTTTATTTTGAGGTTGGGTTAAAATTCACTTTCTTTTTTTATTCAGCACCTTTCAAAATTAGACACACTAAAAAGTTCAGCATCAGAATCTTTTTTTTGTATGTGATAATAAATAACTAATTTAGAGGTTGTGCTTCTGATTTGTCTATTCAACAATCAAATGAAGGCGACAGTGCAAAGGTAAAACTCCCTCTTAACAGGAAGAACCTTCCTGTACAACCAGGCTCAGAGAGGGGCAGCCATCTGGTGTGACTGGGTATGGGTAAGGGGAGGAAGACAGGACAAAAGACATGCTGTGGGAGAGAGCCAGAGATTAATAATAACCAATGATTAAATGTAGAGCGGGGTATAAACACAAGGTGAGTGAAGAAGAAACACGTAGACCTATTGGAGCGTAACTAAGGGAGGATTCAGGGTCACCTGATCACGCCCTAACCATAAGCTTTGCCAAAAACAAAGTTTTATGCCTAATCTTAAAAGTAGACAGGGTTTCTGTTTACCCAGTCCAATCCGAGAGCTGGCTCCACGGAGGAGGTGCCTGAAAGCTGAAGGGTCTGCCTCCAATTCTACTTATATTATTCTAGGAATAACAAGTAAGCCTGCGGTGTGAGAGTAAAGTACTCTAATGGGGTGATATGGTACTATCAGGTCTTTAAGGTAAGATGAACACTGATTATTTGGGACCGTGTATGTGAGGAGATGGATTTTAAATAATATTCTGGATTTAAACGGACACCAGTAAAGAAACGTCTCTTGCCAGTTGGCATAAACTGGTCAGATGGTTGTAGCTAAAATATCTGGGCCTTTTCATATCTGGTTGCTGCTGTGGTTCATACTGTTGCGCCCTGAGAATCAGAGTCTGTGCTGATTGTCTCTGATCTTTCGGTCTCTTCAGGTTTTGGATTCTGTCCACTTACGATGCCAGCAAAGTGCGAGCCAGCGGCCCTGGGCTTACTAGCAGTGTCTCTGCCACATTTCCCGCTGAGTTTAACATTGACGCTAAAGATGCTGGCCAGGGTGAACTGAGCGTGCTCGTCGTGGTCTGTATCAGACACACTTATATACATACGGTAAAACAGATATTTCACTTTAACTTCCGTTCCTTCCTCTTCAGGACCAGGGTGGTAAACATAATCAGGCCAGCATCTATGACAACGGGGACGGTACATACTGGGTATCATACGTCCCCAACCGTGATGGCTGGTACACCATCATTATAAAATATGGAGGTGATGACATCCCAGCATCACCCTACAGAGTCCATGCCACATCAGCTGGTGCTGCCAGCATGTCCGCCATGAGTGGTATGTGACCGCTCACAGTCTGACATCAAGCATCTCATCTTTTTACCAATTTGATTTATTTATAATGTGTCCTTCCCCAGGTCCTGACATGCATCCCACTTTGGCTTTTGGTGAGGAGGTGTATTTGTATCCCATTTCAGTGGCAGCACCATTGGAAGAACACAGCCCTCATTTGTCGCACATTGTTGGGTTATATGGACTGCAGCAAGATCTGCAAAGTCCACAATGGCCATGAAGCCCGCTAAAGCCAGAAGTGATTAACTGCTAAAGGGAATAGTCTGACTTTTACTTTAGAAAGACTTAAATTATTCCCATTAGCAACACAATTACACAATTAAATCAATTAGCTAATGTAGTTATGAGACTAATCATTAAAGATTATATTGCTATAAGAATGTTATTAAAAATGGGAAATGGTTGAATTAAAAAAAAAGATAATAACTTTTTATAAGGCATCTTTCAAAAGAAAGTTACAAGAGATAAAAGTAAAAGGAGATACAAATGAGTAATAAAGAGAATGAAAAATGTGTTGGACGCATCAGAACAGTCATGATTATTCTGTCTTTTGCCCATTTCGCTGCAGGAAGTTCTATGGCATCCAGTGTTTAATTTATGGATACAGTACATTGAGTTTGGAAATGGTTCTAAAATTATCCAAGGAGTTAGAGTGTAGAGAGGGTATTTTCAAAAGAGGTTTTATGAGGTTTTTAAGTATTTAGCTACAATCTGTTAATTCTGTTGTTGTACATTTTATCCTATTTGTGCTCAAGCCTCTGTAATACAAACATGTCACGCTTGCCAAATGTTTTCTTGCATCTTGTTCTTTAATCCCAAATAAAGAAAATCTCTAAAGAAATCTCCTACAAAATGATGATCTTCATCCATCCAGTGCATTTTAGAGTTTAAATTTTGATTTAGAGCAATGAATGTGTTTCCTGTGCAGTTTATGGAAAGATCAGATCATCACACTGCTTCACACTCATACACTGGTACTCTGGAAACAACTGTCTAAGGGTGATGTCTGACAGATATTCATTAGTCCATCTCCTCCCGACTTCCTCTGACAAATACTGAACTCTGTGCCACATTTTCCCAGCATGCAGATCTTTTGGGACAAATTTTCCTGGTTGAAGCGTGGGGTGGGGGGACAGAGGTAAACTGTTTGAGGTAATATGGCTCTAGGCCTCTGAAATCATCTGAAATCATGGAGGCAAGGTGGTAAGTGTATGTTTTTTTTTTTAAAATGACATAACATTAATTACCTATAAAACTGTGTTTTATAGCAATCAGTAGATCTGCAGACATATCATATGAGATCAAGGAACAAACATTCAGACAG